ATGTGAAAGTCCCAAGAAGAAATGGCGGCACCACATGAGGGAAAATAATAAATGCAAAGAGCACCGTCAAGATCAACATCTTGACGGCCAAGAATGTTAGCACCACTAGTGCTAGCACTAGTGGTGACAAACGGGAAGGCAAAAAGAAAAAGGAACGATTGTTCTTTCCGATGATGTATGGCACCTGTTTTGCATTATGTTAGCCATGGGACTAGACCGATGTGGCTTCTAGGGGATGCAGAAACGCGAACCCGGAGGGAGGGCAAGAGGTTCGCCAATGAGGGGTGGGACAAAGTTAGTAGCAAAGTTGTGATGGGAGGATGGAGAGAACTCAGGCCTCCCTGTCTGCGCATAACAACTTGGGTGCCCGAGTTCGTGGCCGACTGGTTCGGAGGTTTTGAGCACATAGCAGATGTAGTCGACTCCATGAGGGAAGTACACATAGGATGTGCCTGGCTAACCGAGGAATTCTATAGGTTCTCCTTAAAATATGGGCCCTTCTACGGGGATAAAGCCGGTGAGGTCATCACCATCCTGAGGATAGGTAAATACGACCGCCTAGAGGTAAGCGCGGAAACTTGGGACGCCATAGTTAGCCGGGAGGCGGCGGCCGCGCCATCCTATGTGGACGATGTCTTTTTGCTGTTTGAGGTGCGGTGGTTTGATTAAAGGGGCTCAAAAGTCGAACGCCACAGGAAGGACGGAGTATGGAGGGTGCATGTGAATTAGGGTGTAGCATAAGAAAGGGACCTGTACATTAGTCAGCAGGGGACGCAAGGAGGTCAAAATAAGGGTAGGCATGGAGACGGGATAGTAGCGGGAACCAGTGTACGATAAGAAGGGGGTACTGAAAGACTAAAACATGGGAGACGCGGAATCTCGGTGGGTGCAGCAATTGGACTAAGGAAGCGGAAAAGGAGGCATTGCGAGATGGCCCGGCGAATGACGTTCTGGGAAGATAGGCCTCACGGGATCCGACCACCAAGGGTATCGCGAGACAGGGTCGAAATAAGCCTGCCATCAAGGAACGTGGTAAGTAACCCGGTAATGGACTGGGTGGGGGTAGAGTTGGTGGAAGACACGGTGTACCTAGTAATAGAACTGGAGTGGCGTACGAGATTCGGGGGCATAAATTTGGACCTTCCAGGGCGAGTACATGCGACGGGATCCCTACACCTGTCGGAAGAAGGGTGGCGGACCTTTGGGATTGCCTTGGCCTCCGGGGATGACCCCGTGCGAATGTTCGAAGGAGCATGGCAAATAACATGGCGGGAGGGGKTTAAGTTTGCAGATCCGAAACGAGATGACGTGACGGCTGAGGTAAAAGTCGCCGCAGCAGGGGTCTTTGAGCTACCAAATGAGGTCGTGCGGATGAGTCTGCCGCCCTTCCTGCTAAGACGAATGAGAGGCATAGAACGAGTGGAGCAGGCGGTGACTGCCGTAACTAGGCTAAATTTTGACGAAGCATTAATGTATCGAGAATACTATCGGGCCTTCCTAGAGATGGGGCCTTTCGGGGACGAACAGGGGCGCGAGGTGCTTTGCATTCTACGAGCAGTGGTAAATACTAGGCCGGGAGTTCCCCAAATAAGTGATGAGACCATGTGGAGAGTCATCCGGCGAGAGGTAGGTCGGGGCGCGACCTACATAGATGATCTCTACCGGCTGTACGAACAGCCAGAAGAGGCTACTGCTCCCATGGGAATGGAGGGATAGTTTGACTAGGAAAGAGGAATGAAAACACGAAGGACAAGGAAGGCAGTAGGTGGGCGGTTTCTGGGGATTGGATGTAACCCTTTCTATGTGGACTATGCAGGGAATCACCAAGGCAACGATGGCAGCAAGGCGTGAGCGAATGGGACACCAGCCCCGTGTGCGAATGGAACGCCAGCCCCGGTACCCCGGACCGCCTTGGAATAACGGTGGACGATGGGAAGTATCCCTCCCGTCGAGTTCTACCTATCGGGGATTCGACATAGAATGGCGGGCCGTGACTTTGGGACGGGACGCCGCCTTCATGTTGGTAGAATGTCAGTGGACAGGGATGAGACTCGATCGAGGACCCGGAGACGATCTGTTTTCCAATCTGGAAGTTACCGGGACCATGTATCTGCCTGAGATTGGTTGGCACTCGTTGGGGGTAGAGATAGCACAAGGTCACGAACTGGCACCGGTCTTTCGAAGGGTCGCCTGGACGCTGACCCGGATAGGACAATCGGTCAGGGGTAGAAGAAACGTGGGCTTACTTACCCGGGTGGAAATAGGAGGTTGGAAGGAATTCGGGGCACCAACCACACCGCTGAGGTGCCGAGTTCCCCGTTTCATGATAGACCTCGTCTTCGGGAGCCTCGCACGGGCGCGGGAGTTGGCAAACTCGGCAATAGTCTAGGCAGGACACTTCCCCTCCCCTACCATTGGGATGTTCTACGATATCACTGTGGAACATGGGCCGTTCTGGGGAAACAGGGCCCACGAGTTACTAGAAGTCATCCACATCTTGATGTTTAGGGTGCCACGACTAGACTGGGTGGGATGCGAACGCATAATCGAAAGAGAAATTGAGATAGGAGAGAGTTATTTAGCCGGGGTGGCTGAACTATTCGAGGAACCTACCGAACCGGAAGGGCCACGAGAGCGAGAACGGGACTAGCACCCGCAGGTGGGCCAGTAGGGCGAATCAAGTACAGTCCGCTACGTTCGAGGGCTCACCGACAGAAATAGGAAAGGGGGGCCTCGGACCCGGATAATCAATAACCGCCAGACAGGGAACACTGCGTAGGAAAACTTTCCTGGCAGGTTGCCCAACCCGGACCCCTACGCACCGACCAATGGAATAAGGGCGCTCTAAACGAGCCGGTGATAAGGGTAGCTAAGTCACGCCCTTAGCTCGATGAGGCAGCGGAGCCGGACTCGGCTCCATATTAAGGAAGCCATCAGGAAATGGGAATGGGAAAAAGCCTAATTACCAAGTAAAAGGGATAAACCATCAGGATTGGAACCTAGGGAACCTAAATGCCTCGCACTGCGTTTGCTCGGGGAAATTCTTTGGTTATGCAGAAGTAGGCACGAATGGCAACAGAAGAAGAGGCAGATAACCGTAAGAGTGAAGGAGGACCAGGCTTAGGAGGCAGTGTCGTACAAAGCGAAGAGAGGCAGAAGTACAGAGAATCGGTAAATCCGGATGGTACCAAAGGGAACCGGAAGGAGATCTCCTCAGGACAAAGCTCGAGGAAAGTCGGGGGAAGCAGGCAAGGGACTCAGGAGACCAAGGAGGGCAGAAATAAGGACAGGACAAGCCCCCGAAACTCGGAAGGAGTCGTGTCTAAGAAAGTAAGGGTCACGGATGCGAGGCGCAAACTAGCCGAGATAGAAAAAAGGACCGCGAAGTACAAGGTAAGATTGATGGAGGAAATGATGACTGGGAACGAAGAAGGCCCTCTGCAGGAGGAACCCCGGGACGAATGGAAAACCAGCCGAGGTGGGACTGGACAAGGGTATAAAGGTAGTGACCGTGGGGGAACGTCGAGCAAGAGAAGGAAAGAGAGAGAGAACTCTCCGGGGATGGAAGCGGAAAAGGCTACGACCCCGCCAGCCATAGATAGTAGGGCTAGCCGCCTGCCGACCACGCCAGCAGTAACGTGAGGGTGCGAAGGACTTTGGAGCCTTAGGGAAAGAGTGTTGGGATGGTTTGACCCAAAAGGAACTGCGAAAACCAGGGAGGGACAGAAGGCCGGCAAGGAAGGTCCAGATAACAGTATGGCAGGCGAGGCCAGCAGCTCCGAGGGCGGCCTTAGGAAGATAGTGTCGTCCCTCGTGCGAGCACTGAACAAAAATCAAGGCTACCTAGCAGATGCTAAGAAATAGTTGATGTTTGATGGGGCGAACATCACGGAATTCCTGATAGATTACGAGAATTTGGTTGTACTGTTGAAATGGACCGAAGAGGAGAAAATGGACCACCTAGGGCAGCATGTGTCTTTGAGCCTAGGACGGGACATAATAGCCATTGTGGCTGCGAGCCGGTCTTGGAAAGAAACCCGGGATATGATGATGAGAAAGTATCTGGCAACAGAGAAGATAGCAACGGAGGCCGATTTAGTGGCAGTCCAAAGGAAGAACTTCGCAACGTACAATGACTTCCTACGGGAGTTTACTTTGGTAGCACTAAGAATCTCCGGGTTTACGGACAGAATAATGAGTAAGTACTTCCTCAGACAGTTCTCCGAGTTCGACAAGGACAAGATCCTGTCGGCTTACCAACAGACGAGCAAATTTGTAAACAATAGGGACGTTGATTTCAGTACGGTAACGGATCTGGCCGAAAAGACGGTAGTGACCGAGACATTGGCCTTGCTTAAGGAAGGTGAGGTCATAGATCTGACCGGTAGAGCGGGCGACAAGGTTAAGAAGGGGATTGATTGCCTACATGAGCAGGTGCACGGGGTCGACAATAAAATTGGAAGGATGGAGGGCGCGCTACTAGTTATGCAGGCGGAAATGTCTAGACCCGCCCTCCCTCCCCAGAAAGCTGTGGTTCCGCCAGGTGTAGCCAACCGGGGGTTCGGACGGAGAGATCCTGCTAACGAGCAATGCAAGTACTGTACCGCGATGGGACATTATGTGCACGCGTGCCCAAAGCTCAACCATGATATTCTGAAAAGAAGGTGTACCAAGTCATTAAAGGGGGAAATATTTGGGCAACAAGGGGAACGGGTGAACTGGAACTCGCCAGGAGGGATGTGGCGAGCCATTATCATGCTCAACGGGTTAGAAATAACGGTCGTAGAAGCCGACCTGGTGGGCGAGATCATCTGGGATCAACTCCAGGGGCGCGGGCCGCATGTCAACTTTATTTTGGAAAACGACGGACGTGATAGGGTGAACGCAACCACTCGATTAGGAACGGTTGGGAGAAGGATTAACCGTGACACCGTGATGGAGGAGGTTGCTGGAAGTTCGGAACCCGAGGCAGAGCCTGAGGCCGAGGAACCGGAAAAGGTCTATGGGAAACCTAGGGAAGAGGAGCCTACAGACAAAGTTACCGCTGCCAAGAAGAAGTTTAGGTACCAAATCCCGATCCTATCCTTGCCTGAGATCGACGACACCATTAGCAAGTTACTAGGAACCATGGTGTCGGTGTCCTTTCAGACCATGCTGCAGGCTAGCCCTAGGTTGCTCAAAGGGCTTAGACAACTGTTGACTCGGCGGCGAGTAGAAATAGGCGACAACCCCGAATTACGAGAAGGGGAGAGGGAGGAGGAAGCTCCGCAAGAAGTGGCTAACCTTCAGAGGAGTCACGGGGACTTGGAGAATCTCGAGAAAGCTTTTGCGGACACTTGTTTGAGCTTGACCGACCGAGAGGGCGGCGAGGTCATGAGGTCACTACCCGGGACAAAGCTTAGCTTTCATGCACTGCCCGTAGGGAAGTTGAAAATCCAGATCGGGACTCATCATACCGACGCGTTAGAAATCGGGGGAGCAGAAATCACTCTTATAAGGAGAGATTTCGCAACGATCACGGGATATACGGTAAACAAGTAACAGGGAGCATCCGGGGAGCTGGCAGGGAAATCCCGTTCGCTGGGTACGTCACGAAGTGTGCTGTAAAGCCAGGAGTTAGGGAATCGATCTGGTCGTTTCAGCGGATGACCGTAATGGAGGAAATGGACCACGACATAATCCTCGGGAGACCGTGGTGCGCGAACGTAGAGATGATAGGCATGCACTTGCACGATGTCTCATACATGATAGACATACAGGACCCAGTGACCGGTCGGGGAGAGCTCCTCCGACTCCTTGGAACGGGAGGAGACCCCCCGAAGGGGAAATTGGCAACATAATCGCCGTCGTTCGAGGATAGCACGTGAAAAGGGGCTTTCGCACGGATGGAAGGTATGAGAGAAAGGGTAGAAATCATGATTGAGGAGGCATTCAACAAGAGGGAGTGGATCAAGATGGGCCTGCCCCAGAAGAAGAGGAGGGAGGAGGACGAAGTCCTAGGTGTTATGGTAGCAGAAAAGGAGTCAGAAGTCGAACTTGGTGCTAGCCTGCCCAAACGAAAAGAAGTACGCATAGACGTGCCAGAAGTTGCACTCGAGATCCCCGATCTGTTACAACTCATCAAGGCTCTCAGATACCACAAGGTAGGAGTGGACTCAGCAGCATTGGCCAAGTTTGAAGGAGAGGTGCAAAAGTGATATTGCCTGAATGGGAAACTACTTGGTATTCAACCACGAGTCGTAGAGGCAACGAGGGCGATTCCGACTGTTCATTTTTTAGGACAAAGATCCCGAAAGGAAGTGTTCAAAAGTACAAGCCAGTAGGGAATAAAGCAAAACCGATCTCGATCCTGCTAGAGACGTCAAAGGAAGAGGCTGTGGAGAAGGAAGAAGAGGTCCTTCGAGTAATCCAAGAAAGAAGGGCGATGGAGGGACATCGGATACCAGATGAGGTAACTGACACAATAAAGATAGGGATAGACGGGTTCCTAACGGAAGAGGAAACCCGCCTGATCAAAAGGACCTGCCAGGAGTTTCACCTGGCATTTGCATTTAGTGATCACCAGAAGGGACGACTAGATGCAAAGTTGATCCCTCCCATCAGAATCCACACGGTAGAACATGAGTGCTGGAATGACAAGGGGTCGTCCTATGAATTCGAGATAGCGGGGGAAGTGACAGACCTCCTCCGAGAAAATATGGACTCCTTCGTTGCGGAGCCTACGGCGTCGCCATACGCAAACCGGTGGTTCGTCTTTCGAAAGCCTAACGAGACACTAAGGTGGATTCAGGATTTGCAAAGTTGAATGCGGTAACAATCCGGGATGCTGGCTCGCTACCTCAGGCTGACTTGTTAGCAAAATCGCACGCGGGTCGGAGCATTTACTCCCTGATAGATCTGTACTAAATGTACGACCAGCTTCCGTTGGATGTTCGGGACAGGCCGTACACCACTATGCACACCCCCGTAGGCCAGCTACAGATGCAAGTGACCCCTATGGGATTCACAAACGCGGTGGCCGAAGTGCAACGCAGAATGCTCGTCGTGGCCCGCGACATGTTTCCAGAAAAGTGTGAGCCCTATATCGACGACAATCCGATCAAAGGTGCGCAGGAGAAGGATGAGACAAAAGTCCAACCGGGAATCCGAAAGTTTGTATGGGACCAACTACAAGACATCGAGGACTTGCTCTGCCGGTTCCTAGTATACAACATCACGGCTAGTGGACCAAAGAGTATTCTAGCAGTACCGGAAGTAACCATACTAGGATTTCGCTGCGGTGCTTACAGTAGGAAGCCGGATCCGGCGAAAACGGACAAGATATCGCAGTGGCCAACCCCCCTGCGCACTACAACGGAAGAAAGAGCGTTCCTAGGCGTGGTCGGTTTCTGGAGGATCTTCATTAAGAATTTTGCCAAGATTGTGGAGCCTATCCAGGCTATGATCAGGGAGGAATGAACCATGGATTGGACGGAGGAGCGAGAAGGAGCAGTCCAAAAGCTTAAGGACATGTTGACATCTGAGACAGTTGCCCTGTCCGCATCTTGTTTTAATGACGAAGTAGGACGACCCTTCATCCTAGAGACGGATGGAGGACCTTTAGCCGTAGGGGGCGTGTTGATTCAAAGGGACGAGGGAGGAAAAGAGAGGCCAATTAGGTTCGAAAGTAGAACCCTGAACTCCGCAGAGCGGCGGTACTCGCAGTTCAAGAAGGAGGTCCTAGCCATCTTGCACTGCCTTAAGACCTTTCATGCCTACCTATTTGGGAGGCGGTTCATCCTTAGGATCGATCCAACGAATGTTGCGGGGGCTCTAAAGAATTACAGGCCTATAGACCCGACGGTGGGGAGATGGGTAGGATTTATCTGGCAGTTCGATTATAAAATCGAACGAATTGCGGGAATTAAGAACAAGGCCGATGGGCTGAGCCGGGTCTGTATCACTCCCGAAGGGGTGGAGGGTGCGGAGCCCATAGACGCATTCCTCGAATACGAAGGAGGGACTCTCGTGGTGGATAACGAAATGATGAGCAAGGAGTGCACATCGGGAGAACTATTGATCCAGACTTTGGAGAAGGGGGCACCTGTCGTAGTAGAAGAACTTAGAGAAGGATCGGTCACCACTCGAGGACGTAGAGAAGAAAAGGACTCATGGGGAGCAATAGTAGGACCAAAAGAGAAACTAATAGCAATGGCGGTCGAGGGAGGCCGGGAAGCAGTGATGAGCTTAGTGGAATCTTGGGAAAGGAAAGAGTTGCAATGGGTGGTAAACCAGATGCGAGAAGGAAAGGATGGGGGTCAGGAAAGGGAGGAGTTTTTCTATGTCCAATCATACGAAGGGCTCTTTCGGGAGATCGGGCTGTTGCTGGTAGGCAGCAAACAACCTAAGGAAGTCAGTATTAAAGCAAGAGAAGAAGCCGAAAGGTACATCATAAGGGCCGGGCATTTGTTCCGAAGGGAGGAAGGTGCTATGCCCAGAAGGATTGTGTGTGGAAGATCTAGGCAAGTAGACATTATCCAGGCAATGCACGACGGGTTAGCTGGAGCTCATCGGTCATCCAAAGGAACCCTTGCGAAGATAACGCCACTCTATTATTTTGCCAGGCATGACAGGCATGGTTGCCATATACTGCCAGACTTGCCTTATTTGCCAAGAACGAAGCTCGGTGCGGGTCTTTGAGCCGCTTAGACCAACGCGGGTGCTAGGGCCGGGAAATCTGGTCGACCTCGACCTTGCGGTCATGCCTGTATCAATGGATGGGTATAGGTATATCCTGGATGCGCGAGACAACTTGAGTGGGTTCGTGGAGGCGATCGCCCTCAAGAAAAAGACAGGGAGGAGTGTGGCAGATTGGATAAAAGACTTTTACTTGAGGCATCCTTTCGTCGGGAGGTTTATAGCAGACAATGGGACGGAGTTTGTGAACCAAGAAGTATTGGGGATGCTTAAGAGACTCTGCGTACCGATCAAACTCATCGAGCCGTATCACCCTGAGGCCAATGCGCCTATGGAAAGGGGGCACCGAACCTTGAAGAACACGATTGCGAACCTCGCAGCGGACCAGCTGGAGATGGCCTAGGTATCTTAAGCAGGCTGTCTTTGCGGAGAATATGACCCCTAAAAGGACAACAGGATGTATCCCGGCAGAACTTTGGTACGGAAGAGAGATCGACTTTCCTGTGGAAGCCTTGGTACCTACCTGGAATAGGTTAGATGATGATCCGCAAAGGACTACTGAAGAGTTAATCGAGGCAAGATGCCAACAGATCCTTAAAAGCGAGGAAGTCATGGAAGACATCGCCAACCGCGTGCTAGACAGCAGAATGAGGGACAAAGCAAGGTGGGACCAGGTTAAGAATGTCAGAAAGGAGCCACTTCAAGTGGGAGAGATGGTATTGCTAAGGAACTCGACACTAGAAAGTACTTGGTCAGGACAGCTGGGAAGAAGGTTCAAAGGCCCCTACCGGATCGCCAAGCGGGTGGGACTGAACACCTTGGAACTGGAAGATTTGGATGGAACTGGATTGAAAGGGTCCTTCCCGGGGCAGCGATTGGTCAGGTTTCTAAGTCGGGACCAAGTGGAACAATGGCTTCAGGAGGCCGAAGATAAGGAAACTGAGGGGCCACAAGCTAAAGACTGACCACAGCCTTTCCCACACTATGGTTTGTCTCTTACCATGTCCATTGGACTGTCAGTTTTGGGGGACTGGGACAATGACTTGGACTAACTGAGAATGAAAGGCAGCATGGCTTGGGGGTTTGCAATATCTGGCTTGTGCGACGATGGGAAGGGGTGTTTGGGGCATTGTACCATAGTTTTTTACGGGAAAAAAATGGGATCTTCGCAAACGACGTTTTTTGCATAAGGGAGGGAAATGTATAAAAGGGGCATGATGCGAAGGGTATAGGGAGCAATTTTTTTTGGGGAAAGGGAACCGCCTTCCGGCCTGGGGGGGAATGTGTGTATGCGGTGCTTTGCGGGTGTTGTTTTGTTATACAGGACCTGGGAGAAAAACGAGAAAAGGCAAAAAAATGGAATTCGGCAACGAGAACGACAGTGGGGCGATCAACAGGCCTACCAGAGGGGAGGAAGCAGGACCGAGCCAAGGGAGGAGGGCGGTGAAGAGAAAGTTGTACATAGGGCTCATGGGTGGGCCAGTGGTAGGCAAGGTTGGAAGGAAATGCTTCTGTAGGAAACCCTCACCCCTCCGCGAGGGGGAAGGCGTAGAAATCTCGTCTGACAGTGAGGGAGGGAAGGAAAAGTCAAAAGTGGAAGAAGCAGGCAATGCAGATATGGGAGATAAGGTTCAAGTCTCTGACGAGGAAGGAGCCAATAGGGGCAAACGGCGTGAGACTTAGCATGGGGAAAGCGAGGGGGGACAAGACATGCGCAACGAACATGAGGAGGATGAGGAGAGAAGGGAAAGCCCGCTTGAAGGACGAAGTGGCCACGACATTTGTGAGGGGTATGAGACGGGAACAAAGATTTATTTTACCTACGATCCTAAGAACCTTGCAGGTGGGTATAGCCCCATACAGACAGAAGACGAGGAGTACGAGGAGGAGGATGTACGAGAAGTCATTGAAATCATCAGCGGGGATGAGAGGGATGAGATCTCAAGGCCTAGGGAAGAAGGGCGGCCTCCGATGCACCAGCCGGGCGAGGAGGCTTTCGGATGGGAGGACGAGTTTGGACCAACACCTAGTCATTGGCTTCAGCAATGGAGCAATGTGATCAGGCACGAATAGATTATCAAGACCCGGGAATTGGCCAAAGCGGGAGTGGAAGCTACGCCACTGGACTTCTTCAGTAAAATTGAACTACAGGGAATTGCGAGAAAGAAGAGAGAAATCGAGACCTACGGCCTGGGGGTTAGGAAGCCTGCCGAGGAACAGGGTGGACAAGGAACTGGGCAAGACGAGGCGCAAGGCAGCAATAGAAACTAGGTGTTGACTTAGCCTTGAAAAGAATCGCTGCTTTTCTGTCTGCAGAGTCGTGAGAATGACGAGAACGTGTACAGTATGGGCAAGCTTGCTAAGGATGAGGTGAAAAGAGGGTCAGCCAAGGCTGTGTCACGATAAGACAGAAGATAGTCCTTGAGGCTATTTTTTTGGATGAGCTACCTTGGGTACATAAAACAAAGACATGGGATTTGGGATGAGACCAATTGGGAGAGGGTGTATTGTGAATTCTGGATGGGATAAGGATTATACTTTTGAGAGGGGAAAAACTTGAGTACGGATTGACGAGCGAAGAGTACTCCTTCCCTAGGAGCCTAATCCAACCAAGTCATGAATTAGTCTGAGAATGGTCAAGATCTGAGTCGTCGGAACGACTGAAGAAAAAAGGGGGCGCCCCTGTCTCTTGCTATGGTTGAACGGCCAAGTGAGCTAGTGCTGCTTGGGGTCGCAAGCCCCAACTCGAGTGTTATACGCTAAGTCGGATATATGCATGGATAGTACATTACTGTGAGAAATGGAATGGATGGTACATTACTGTGAGAAATGGAAGAAAGAGAACAACACGCAAAAGATGAGATGGCCACCTTCTAACCTCCAAGACAGAAATGGGATCCGTAACCTCGAGGCCCACCCCCTCGGGCACTAACATTGAGAATGGAAAGGAACGACCCTAACCAGGCTGTTCGACTTGAGAATGGAAAGGAATAGCCCTAACCAGGCTGTTCGACTTGAGAATGGAAAGGAATGGCCCTAACCAGGCTGTTCGACTTGAAAATGGAAAAGAACTACCCTAACCAGGTTGTTCGGGAATGGCCCCTAACAAGGGTCATTCCTTTTGAAATAGGCACTGGGGTCCCCTGCATATTTGATTGAGAAAGGTTGATTGAGAATGTGTTGGAATGAGCGAAAGAGATGGAAAAGGCCGATGGGTCGGTCATTGAAATAGCCAATGGATGGATGAAAGAGATGGAAAAGGCCGATGGATCGATCATTGAAATAGCCAATGGAATGAATGGAAGAGATGGAAAAGGTCGGTGGGTCGGTCGCTGAAATAGCCAAGGGGGCGGAAGAAAGATGTGAATGAGAAGGGCAGGATAAAGAAGGTCGAGCCTTAAAGTCAAGAAGGGCAGGGACCGTTGGGACGGTCACAGAGATTGGGTGTTGAGGAATGAGAGAATTGAGGATTGAATGGGCGGAAGGGTCAGTCTTGAGAAATGGCTATTGACAAAATGACCGTCAGACCGGCCATGTGGGTGGCCTTGTTGATGAGAGGTTGTCGGACCAGCCATGAGAATCAACCTTGGAAATAGCATGGGATTGAGTGTTTGAAGNACCGGCCATGTGGGTGGCCTTGTTGATGAGAGGTTGTCGGACCAGCCATGAGAATCAACCTTGGAAATAGCATGGGATTGAGTGTTTGAAGATTGGATATTGCATTGCATAACCAGGGGACCCTAGGCAACTTGATGTAAGGTCGTCGGGCCGACCATGGAAATAGCAAGAGATTGAGCTTTCCTTTTTTTCTAGTCTCAGGTCTCAACATAAGGGGGATAGCAATGCCTGCATCGCGACCCCAAGACCTCTACCCGTTAAGGGAAAAGTCTCAGCGCGACCTGCTCCTCATAAGAAGGAATAAGGGTTGAAGGACCAAAGCACCTCTCTCTTTGATTGATGCTGGCCGTTCGGAATTTACCCCGACATCGAGCTCTAGTCGGGGAGTTCAAACTGCGCCTCATGTTGAAACCTAAACGTCAAGGGCGTGGTGCCAAACGGGCGAGAGAGCCATTATTTTTCCTAAGTCTTATTTTTTTTCCCCAACCACACGCCACGCCGTAGAGGGGCGACACGGCCGTTTGGAATGGACCACGACCGCTCGCGTTAAGTTGAGTAGCACTGTCCAGAAGGAGGAATCGGGCGTGGTACCGGGTGGAAGCCGCAACCACCACAGGGCGGGTGACACCGCCCTGCCGGAATATTACAACCATTCCGGGACTAACCGCGAGGTCTTCGTAACTGCACTCGCAGACTAATAGAGAGCCCCAACTCTCTTGAAAGGAAGAGGTCGGACCAAGAAAACACCACTCGGGAGGAACGATTCACGAGAAAGCACTTACGGCAAGATGGGGTCCTGAGAGGCTTGGACTGGACCTACCTTCCAGATGTGGGGTGGTACCTCAGTGATGACGCCCGGCTCGTAAGCAGCAAAAGGTCGGACTGGAGTAGGGGATGAGGTGAGTTAGCAGCAGGGGAAGGACTGATCACCCTTCCTTTTTGGGGCTGATGGGCCGGCATCCGTCTACTTAGTTGGTGGGCCACGGTCTGCGTACCTCCGAGTGAGAACTAGTCGTGCGATGGGGACATCGCATTTTGAGTGGGGGGAAGGTGTGCCATGTACCAAAGAAAAGGCGTGCAAAAGAGAAGGATACCATGAGCATAAGAATAGATGAGTAATTGACTTTGCGCAGGCTTGAGAAAAGGTCTGGCAAGATGTCCAGAAGAAAAGAATGAATGAGTAATTGACTTTGCGCAGGCTTGAGA